TCTTGGAACGAATTGAGTCTCGGAGCTGTGCTGCGAGGACTGGTGGTCGGTCTTGGACGAGAAGGCAAATGTAAACATTGTCGTTCTTCGTAACTGGGAGGAAGAATCGTGTCTTAAACAGGAGAATAAGACAGATTAGCGTCGATATTGCTAAGTTCTGAAGCACTGAAGGGTGGGGGAAGTTCTGTGGACATTTTGTCGACTTAAACTAGGAAGTAAACGTCTTGGTAGCGGTCGTCCAAGTGCCTGAAGGTCCGTCCTGGGCGCGAGCGCGGGGGGGGGTGGGATGTTTTAAATGAATACATGGCCATCGGAACTGTTAATCTCTGTTAACCATACCTCAAGCTCTATTGTATTCATATATTCTGGTTTCCCTTCAAAGTGCCATGTGGTCATCGCTCCTGGTCCCAAGACATGCCTATTGTCTCCCGATCTTGCTATTTGTTTACAGCGTAGCAACCAGGGACGCTTCAAGCGGCTTCGACGGTCGCAATTATTATGTGGCTGTCCAAAGCTGTCCAACCGAGCAGAACAAAAAGGAGTCTGGGGTAGGCGCCCAGTGAGTTTGAGTCCGGGACTCCGTCGTGATCTAATTTGTTTGATCTTCGATGATTGATCGACGCATCCTTGCTTAGGTCCGGATCCATCCTTGCTCCAGTTTACAATAATCTTCAGGAAGTGCTCATATTAATCGTCAAGCACAACATATTATCTAGGTTCCTTCAGCCCTGCATCTGTCAATGAAAAGCGAGCGTACTACGAGTCGTTCAAGCCTCCTAAGATCAGTCTCCATCTCACCCATCCTTCCAGAATTCACAACGATAATACTTCTCCCTGCTGACTAAAATTGCCATGGCGAATGATTTATTTCGTACTGGTGGCAGACGCATGGAAACGAGTCAGATGCGTTCGATATTGGGTCAGCCGATGGAGGACATCGAATGGACTATGGAACCCTTCAGCTGATTCGGATGCTTTTGTAAGAATTGTCTAAAATCATCCCTACTATGGCGTCGCCTAATCCCTATTATTCTAGACAACATCCCTGATCCAACTCGGTATTAAGTAACTTGCGTAGAGTTCGTGATATCGAAATTCTGGAAGAGAGTCGAGCCGCTTTGGCTCCTATCGACGATCTCGACGTATCATGTCCCATTAAGGATACGGAGTTGTTCAATAGCCATTGAGGGAGACTTTTTGGATCTTCCGCGTCACGGTCAAAGCATATTATGCATAGGGCTCGAGACTGGCCTAAATAACGTCAAGCCTGCGGACTTTGAGCCTGCGTTGTAAATGATACGAACTGAACTTGGAACCAGACTCGGGAGACTCACGTTCCGGATGTCTTCGACTTTATTGACGAATGTTCTTTGTTTTATTTGTCTCGTATAAGAGGTATATTCTATTTTGTTCCCTAACCCCCAATAATCTTGATCGTGTTGCTGGCTAAACTATAGGGACTGCTGGAGATCCAGAAAAGTCTAGTAGGCACCGCATTGGAAGAGTGGTTAGGCAAGGAAACAAGGTCGCGCCTGAAGTATCCATAGAGGTATGTATGTAAATAGTTTCTTATATTATACGCTGAATTTGATAATATTCTAAATGTTTTATCTGTGCTGAATAATGGCGAACGGTAATCCTTCGAGAAAATGCTTGACTACTCCTTTACTATACAATATGCATGTTCATTTTTAATATGTTAGGTTCGTGACTCGGAGATTTGGGTGTTCTATCATCTCATCTAACGATGCATGTGCGACGAAGTTCAGATAGATGCTCTCTCCCACAGACCAGCCTCATCTCCAAATCTCCGTGCGATCCCATACGACCGCACCCGAATAAATGCACACGACGATCATCCTTCCCTTCGCTGATCTCCGAGCCATCATACCGGCTTCTGCGCTCGCACTGACTCGTAAAACTCAGACATCTCCAAAACTATGCCCCTCGATCCATTTCATTTCGAATAGACCTAAAAGTAACATTTTAACATCCCTGCACACTAAATTCTCGACCCCGTGCCGAACCCGGAGCACCTTTACTTTCTTCTCGGCCTTTCTCGGCAACATAGAGTTCAAGATTCGGGTAACGGACATCGAGAGAGACCTTTACTGATATATAGAAAACAAACCCTTAAGTTAGCTCAGGTTAATGTGCATGTCTCCCGAATAATCTAATTTATCAAATCCTCGAATACGCTTCAACTTCGGAGCCGCATTGGGGATTTGAAGTCTAAAAGGAGAACCTGTCATGATTGATGCTTGTAAGTAGTATACTGCGCTTCTTTTCGGTTTGCTATTTGAGCGTCGACGTCGGTATCGTGACTAATAATTAAGGGAGTGATTGCTTACCCTGCAGATCGGCTGGGAATCCAGATGCGTCATTGAAATGTATTAGGCTATCTAGATGAGGGCGACAGCTGCAGTCAGCTAACCTGAGTACTATTGAAAGACAGGAAGACGGACTTAAGCCTGAGGGCGGACGGAATGACCATTTAGGTATATTCGCCGTAGATAACTTAGGAGGAGAGGATAATATCAATTATTGACACAGAAATAGACTTTCATACCCAAGGATTAAGGTTAAGGGTAGTGATTGCGTATTCTGCAGATCGGCTGAGAACTAATACAGGTACGTCGTGAAAATGGGGGATTTAGATGAGAGTGAGAATCAGACATACATAGACTGTACAGTCAAGTGAACCTGAATATCGAATTATGATGCCCGTCGTTATTCGGGGAGAAGAAATGGATCGGAAGAGTGAGAGAATTGTCAATTACAGACTTTGTCTCAGAAACACTTAGGGGCAAGGGGTGCGCGTTATTATTATAATGAAGTGGTTGATACATCGATGGATGGACAGGAGGGAAGAGGAGTTGAATGTATTCTATGTATATGTAATCCCAATCGGAGCACAATGGGATCGTATTCTGATTAATTCGTACTCAATACTCAAGCTTGCAGTCGACATCCTTGCACATCGGTTAGCTCAGTTTACAGCATCTATAAAATAAAATAAACTCAGGCTCGTTTGTGGCCTGTTTCTCCTGTGATGGGAATCTCCTAAATAATAAATTTGCATCCAATTCCCCAATATTTTCATTGGCGCAAAGGTGACCCACATGGACATATCAGTTATTTAAAATGGAGACGCTGTAATTGCGCTGTACTACTCGACTTTTCTTATGTAAAAATGTATGAACAATACTTTAAATGCTGTACAGCTATAAGGTTCCGATTTCCCAATCCTTTCATTGGTCCGGAAGTGGACACCAATGGCAACACCGATACGGAGGTACCAGTGAAGTCCGACTCGTCGTAAGTATGCCTGTCAATGACCCGATGGTGGCAGTGAATACCAGTCGCGGTTCTGACAGAAATAGGAGATCGGAGGGGTGGAGTGGAGGACATTTTCAATTAGAGAGCTTCAATGCCGTGGACCATACTAAGAAGCACTTAGGGACAAGGGCACTTACTGTCTGAAGCATATATGTAAGGTACAAGTGATTGTAATAATAACCGTTGATGCACTTAAATTGACGGAGATGTACAAATTTAATGCTATGTAGTAGAATTCCGATGGGAAGAGTAGAGTGGGGATGGCGTACTCTGATTTATCCCTCGAGATCGAGTCGATGTCTGTCTGCTTTCCATTCTGAATACTACAATTTCAATTACTATTATATAGTGATATACTCACATTTTTTCCTAAAAGCTCAAGTTTCCATTTCATTTATAAATATGTTTATCCTACGTAGTATATTTAATTCTGGCGTTCAGCGAAGATTTAGAGACAGAGACGAAATATAGCCGAATGTAGCGAGAAGAGTGCGCCACCCGGGCCAATGAAACAAGGCGATCAGTACCATGTTCAAAGTTAACCTTAATTAACAGCATGATGGTTACTTACGGGAATGATGGCAGGGTGTTTCTGATTGCTAGCCTGAGTGGTAATGGCATCGGTAATAAGCCTGTGCTAGTTGACGTGAAGCCGTTGAAGCGTCTGTCTCCGAGTCAGTTAGCGAGCATAGTTCAACGGATTTACCTTTTTGAAAAAGTACGTCATACCGACACTCGGAGTCGGTGAAATGTACTGCATTAGTGCTCTTGGGCTTTAAATAGTAGACTTTAGAAAGGTATCAACAAAAATCACTAGTGAATGCGGAAGAATGCCAAATAGGACAGCAGAGCCTGTAGTCGTCCGACTCCTTTAATATGTATGGTGTTCACATCCGATCTTTATTGGCATGTGAAATATATACTCGCCAAGACCTCCGTTCACTTTCCCATCGATCCATCCTGGAAGTCCCACCATCTACTTAGCTTAAGCAGTGGATCGGGTGACAACAGTAACCGAGTAAGAAAATTCTTGAAGATAGCTTGGCTTGGCCAGAGGCCGAATAATCATTCGTTACGGTTCGGACGGTGACAGCTTGCACACGACACTGTATGCTACGCAGGGATCATGATTACTGATAGACGATATAGGCTAATACTACGCGTACGCCGACGGGGAATCATGATGACTGCTCGCGGGCTTTAGCTCTACATATATAACTTCCTGTTGGATGCAAACAATAAATTCGTTTTGATCCCACCGCTCCTTTAGGATAATCTCTAATTTTCACAGGCACACGACCAACCCTTACATCCACCTTCATACTGAGTCAGTAATATAATAGATAGTAGATAGACGGCTTAAACAATTAAGAGTTAACTACGATACTGCTCCGGTCGCGGGTTACTTAGCTTCGGACAACTCGCGAATGCGGACGAATTTATGCACTACAGTGGGGGAGCCTGAGATCAGACTCACATCGAATGCACCAGTGCTGTGGTATATATCTATCTAAGGTTTATAATAATAATAATAAAATTTCAGTGATATCTGAGTTTCGAGCTTGCGAGGAATTATTCTCGTTGGATGGAATAAATGGGTAAATAGAATTTCCACATGAAGTCAGCCCTACATGGTCTATTATAGGACGACCCCGCCGAATGCATCAATGGGGTAGTGGTAACCTTGGTCGTTGCCATCGACCAGCCGCGAGTTCAATTCTCGCTTGATGCAATCTTTTTGCTGTTTCTTGTTGCCTACTTATTTCTCTAATACTTCTCATACGATTCATCGATTCATTTTATTTCATAAGCATCTATAAGTAAAAATGAAAGAAAACGAATATACACAACTCTAAATACACAACCCTAACCAGAGTCGCCAGACACCATCATGATGTTTATGTTTATTTTTATTGTTATTCCAAGAAAATTCCACCCTTGCCATATCACACCCCATTTTCGCGTCCCACCCCAGAATACTTCCTAATTCCAATTCTACATATATGAACACATCCTCTCACAGGAAGGAGTGCACACACACACGAATCGACCACGCCCACGAATCCGAATCCGAATTGCGGTGGCACGATACCAACATAGACATGCCAACGAGGCGCGACCCAGGCCTAAGAATCGAATAATAATTATACCCCAATCCCAAAGAATCCAACGTACGACGCCCAACGCCAACGCCAACGGGGGTATGCCAACGTTATGCCAAGCCAACTTCGCATAACATAATTCAAACCCTGCATCACTGCATCAGCGCATCCTGCAGCCCAAGATTTAGAACCTGCGACGTGCAGTAGGCGATCGCGAACTTCGAAGGGAAGAGCGAAAGCGCACCCGATGTGCCACCCAACAAAGCCCAGCCAGTCACCCCGCACGATCATGAATTTGAATTTGAAATTTACATATTTGCTATCCTGAGCCTGTGCCTGCGAGGAGGGCGAGTATATCAGCCACTGGCCACCCATGATGAAGTATTCTACCGGTCACTTGGGATGACATAGTACAGTGACGACCTGCGTGAAGCGTGGAGCGTGAAAATAAGGGGGAGGAAGGAATAAAGAAATAAAGGAGGAAGAAAAGGGGAGGAACATAGGCGAGAAGGGAGGAAGGAGGGCGGAAGAAACCACACTGAGGATCGACCAAACCCTAAAGAAAGGGATGAATCAAAAAATAAAATAAAAAAGGACAAGAGAGGAAGAGGGAAGAAGGAGGAGGGCGAGAAAGGAACGAGGAAGAAGAAGTAAAAAGCCAAACAAAAAAGGAAAGCAAAAATAGGGGGAAAGTCCATTGGCTTGGGTCGTGACTGGCTTCGGGCTTCGTCGTGGGTTTAGCCCTTCATCGAATTCGTTCGTTCGACGGCTGGCTTGGCTCTAGTTTCAAGGACCTGGCTTCCTCGTGAGTTCAAAGGCCAAGGCTGGCAGGTCGCGCGATAGGAAGGTCTCGATATTCAATTCGATTCGTAGTGAAGTCTGGTAGTGCGGGTGGTATCATGGATTGATGGCAGATAGAGATAAAACGGAAATAAATAAAGAAAGAAAAACAGAGGGGAAAAACAAGACTAGGTAGGGAGAAAGAAAAGCGAAGGGGTGAAGGGGAAAATCGCGTAAAGAAGCGAGGGGACATAATTCGCGAGTGAAGGAAGAAAAGGCGAAGAAAAATAGAAGACATCTAGTAATGAGGACAGGAGCGAGAAACAACATGACAGGGGGACAAAAAGAAGAAAAGCAAGAGCAGCGAAGCTATACTAACAAGACAGGAGCAGAGACAGAGAGAGAAATCTATGATGGGACACAGACGGATGGACAAGTGGGATGGTGATGAGGCTGGGATGGAAGATTGGATAGATGGTGGTAGATGAGGATGAGATAAATGAGTGAATGCTGGTGTTGTCGTCGGGTGTGGGTGGGTGTTAGGGCGGTGGGCGGCTATATACATCGTGGTGGTGGTTTGATGCGAAGTCGAAACCTAGAGTTTGGACTCGGGTGCGGGTGCGGGTGCGGGCTTTTGAGGCGCACATGCGGATGGTGGCGAGGGCGGGTGGATAGAAAGGCGGGGAGAGGTTAACAAGGCTTGTAATATATCGTTGTGATGTACTAAAAATCGCGGGAAAATAATAAAATTAATCAGCAAAAAATCCAGAGAAGAATGCCAGGAATAAAAATCCCACCTTCTTATTATACCTCGTCGTATCGCTAACAGCAATGACCCCATTCCTAATCGCACTCGTCCCCAAATGATGCAGCACGACATGGCTCGGCACAGGAAGTACACTCGAATCGTCCGCCTGCGCCCACTGCTCCATCGCCGCCATGCTCCCGCTGATACCCCCTATTCCAGCGCCAATACCCGCCATCCCACCCCCTGGCTCGTTCGGCGTCAAGTTCCCGCTCCCATTCTCCGCGGGACTCAACATGCTCGTCATCCCCAGGCCCGAGTTCCTCGAGCCCCCACGATGGCGCGAACTGCGTCCGCTGCGTGAGGAACTCGAGCCGGCCGCGCCGTTCGCACCATTGGGTTTGGTGTTTAGGATGACTTTATCTAGGTGGCGGGGCAGTCTTGGCGCGGGGGGAATACTGGGTACGCCCATCCCCAGTGCACCGACTGTCCCTCTTGTGCCTGCGCCGCCGCGTCTTACCTCCCGCGCTGCCTGTAACGCTTGCAAGTATGCCTCTTCTTGGGTTGCGGCAGCGATTAACGGCTCGGGGATCACGTTCGTCCATTTCTCCAGCACACCGTCTCTGCCATGTTCCCATCCTCTGTCATCTACGGAGTCAGCCCCCCAGAAAGAATCGGACGGCGGTAATAGCGGCGGATGCCACGCGCGGCCAGGGTTCGGTGTTGTCGTTGCAGTCGTGGGGCTCCGCTGCGCAGCACGAGATTGGCGGGGTGGATAAATGCGCTTGCGGTTCGCTTTCATGATGCGGGTGTCGCGGCCTTGTTGTTCGTCGTTCGGGCTGAGGTCGATCGCGGAAAAGTCCTCGACGTCGATGTAGTTGACGAGGTTGCCGGTGTCGTCGTCTGTTGCGGTGGGGAGATCGCGGGAGCAGAGCCAGGCGTCGTCGACGATGAATTTGATGCGGTAGGTTCCTGCGGGGAGGGAGAGGGAGATCGTGTGGGTGTTCGTTGTGGGGCTGGCGGAATGGAAAATTTAAATTAGGAGCGGGATAATGGGATAGAAGGGATAAAGCGCACTCTAATCGTAGGCGTTCTCTGGCGCGCCATTCTAGTTCGTGAAAAGTGCCTGCGACGAAGACGTCGTGGCCTCCACCGCGCCATGCAATGGTGGTGGGGATTTGTCCCACGCTGGGGTCATCCTCCTCAGAATTGGGCTCCTCTGGGAGGCCGCGGGCACGCTCTGCCTGGGACAGCCGGAGCGGGATGCTGGAGCGGACGATGTTGGCCTCGACTGGGTCCTGAAGCGGCGGGGGTGCGGGGATGGGATCGGGCTGCTGCTGGGGCTGGTGGTTAGCTGGGTCACCCCAGCCACCAACCCCTTGTGGGCCGCCGCGCCGCACTGCACCGAAGCTGCGGGTGGAATTGTATTGAATGGGTGGTCGGGGATGGTTTTGGGATGAGTCAGTGCGGCGATGGTGGTTTATGAGCTCGGGGACGATGTCTGGGTCGGGAGGAGTGTCTGGCGGGTGCGGGGAGTGCGCGGCGGTGTTGATGGGGATGGGGATGGGGATGGGAGTGGAGGGAATGGCTGGAGCGGGAATGGCGGCGAGGAGGGGCGGATGGTCGACGATGGAGCGTTTCTTGGTCTTGAGGGGGCGAGAACGGGTCGGGGGACTGGAGAGGGCGGCGGAGTTGGTGGGGTCGCGTCGGGATGGATTCGGGTGGGAGGAGGGATTGTTGCCCATGGAGGAGAGGAGGAGGAGGAGTCCGAGTGTGACTGGATACACAAGCCTCTACAATCCAAGGCGCTAAACGATAATCGTCGGGGGCGGCTGACAAAGCGGCGGAGATTCCCCTCGGCATTCAAGCCTCTTCTCACGCCCAGCGCTCCCGATCTACCGACGGGTTGATTGCCAGCGAGAGCGGCGCATAACGACTTTATGGCTTACCCGCAAACGTTCTCGAGGGTCTTCCTTATGGGTGATGAGCGGATCCCCACTCCCAACCAGTGTATATGCCTTAATGTGGGTGGGGAGTAACCGTCGCTGTCGCGGGCGAGTCGACTTGAATACAGTCCCAAGTGCCCGTAATCCCACCAAATAACAAAATAAAATAATTCCATTAGAGTTTACAAGTAGGCGTATTTTCGGAGTTTCCGACATACGAACAGCGCTTCCGGCATGATATGATGGGGCCGTGGTGTTCGAAGCCAAAGACTTCTGCTTTGTCCTCCGAATCTAGGTAAATCGCGCAAACAGCCAAAATGAATTTCCTAACCCCTTGGAAAAGCTCCACAAAATAAACTAATACCCATAACCCGCTACCGGTCTCAGGTTGCACTCCACCCCCTATACTGCGTGCATCTAAATTTATCTACAAATATCTCCTTCGAAGGCCTAAGACGGTATATCATATCATATCGATCATCTTGGAACCTTGTCGAAGGCCCAGAGGCAAATATCTGTATTTAGATATAGGCATGACGCGGATCCCTGCATATGTATTCAACGTCGGCATGACCGGAACAGCGAGTTTAAGAGGGTATGCTAGGCTAGAATCTAGAGCGCATTGATCGTTACAGGTGGTGATGACGTCGGAATCTGCGGTAACGGCGTTGTTGGATAAGCTTATAATTAAAAGTAGCTCTCTGAGATATAGTAGACTATACTTACTGAACTATACTTTTCACCCCAAATAACTTTGACGTTTCAACTCAATGACATACCATACAACCTCCTACAACCCCTCCCCTCAAAACTCAATCAGTCCTGCCACTCACGGCCCTCCGAATCCCCGGCCCTCCGAGCTCATCCCCTAAACCATACTCCGAAAGCACCCCTTTTCTCTCAATCCGAGAGTAAACATCCAAGTGTCCTCTATTTAATAGTATTTTACACGGTGTCCCGAGTCGGATTGGCATTTATCAACATACGCTTGGAGAACAACCCCCTTATGAATTCCCCTCCAACTCAATCACTGGCGCCCCTGGTCCGAGTACCCTGCTCATCACCCAAATCATACCCTCTTTCCTTAATTTATTAATACAAGCAAGCAACTACTCAAATCAGCCAGCTAGATCCCTGAGATATATACTATAGTCTGGTA